TAGGTAATTAAAATAAAAATAAAAATGAACAAAACATAAAAAAACCACAAGGCAAGGTCTCAACTGATTTTTGTTTCCCCACTGTTTTCTACACTTTTAAATATTATTCAGTATATATTACATAAAATTATTTAGGACAACGCCCTGTCTTCGGCAGAGCTCCTAAAACTTTTAGAACTATACAAATAATGAATAAAATATGTTTTTATTTTCACTAAAATAGATTGAGTTTTGTGCTTGAGAAAAAACTTAGGTCTTCATTTCATCAAATGTTTATTTCCAGATCAAACTAAGGCTCACTTTTTGTGTCAGCAGAGATGTTCATTCTACCACCAGAAAGTGCAATCTATGCAAACAAAATTCTGTGTTTTGCACCTTCATGGTGTCTGATCAGAAGGAACTTGATGTTTTACACTTTACACAATATCTGTGTTTAATCGATCATTTATTATGCAGCATCACATATAAGAATGTTGCTTATGTCACTTAAATTACCTAAGATTAGCCGCCAGGAGGAACTTAAAATCTAACTTTTCTTCAAAGAGTTAGATTCAGGCATAGAAAAATGAAGGAAAGGGTTTGTTTAACATAATGATTAATAATTTTTTACCTGCTTTCTAATCGGATCTGATAGCCAATAGTCTGGCCAATTTTTTCTCTTCTTTCTGCAGCAACCCTTTCAGCCACAGCAATAGCTGCTAAACGTCTTGGCTGAGTGCAAAATATGCGACAAGGAATTCCATTTTTGTAGCAATCATCAAGAAGAAACTGAGGAATCTAAAAGAAAAAGGGTGTTTTTTAATTTGATAATATTGCAACCTTCCTATCTTTGCAAACACAATATATAACTGTGCAGCATTATTGATTAAAGCAGTTTATATTGACCCTCATGTTATAAAGAGGAAGATTCAGTGTGTAATAACTCATTGCAACTCTCTTTTAATTATTTATGTTAGTGTATTTGGGTGTTTAATACGGGTACTCCGCATAGAGGCAGATCGCTATAAACCACTAAAGAGAAGGACAAGTGGTGAAAGGTATAGGAACTCATGGCTGTCTGCTCTCTCCTCTGTCATGTATTATTGAGGGGAAGTTCACAACTCTATATTATAAACCAGGTGTTTATATTAAATAGATAATATTTCAACTGTAGTAGATAGAAAACGTGATTTCTTTTAATGGAGAACATTTCCACATTTATTTTAAATGGAGAACAGGCCAATGAACAGCCGATAGCGTAATAAGAAGAGACCCCAGTTAAATATTGTTCAGGAATTCATTTTGACACACAGAGAACACATACGCTTAGTCCAGCAGTATACACAACTAATTCTGTCCTTTTAATTTCATTAAGCAAAAAGACATACCTGAGTTGTTTTTCCTGATCCAGTTTCTCCCACAATCAGAACAACTTTATTTTCTTTAATAATTCTGACAATTTCTTCCTGTTTTTCAAAAACTGGCAGAGATTGCCTAAAGGAATCAAATTCAGATTCCCCCCTTTTCACGGGAATCTGAGGGATGCCATTGTTAAGTCGCCCACTTGTCTTACTCATTTCTCTGTTCTCTGAGAAAAAACAGAATTAATGGCATAGTGTTAAAGGTGTCCCCAAAAATGCTATAGCTCAATGCAAAGCTGAATACGGACAATTTTAGAATCCTCTGTATTAATAAAATAACACCACATACTGCACTAACATGATCCATTTTGGTCAATTTCATGAGCAAAGGATTTTAAAATCATAACTTTCATGTCTTCAGCTATTTAAATATGAAATTTCAGAGTGTTATAACTATAGCGATCTGGATACAAAAAGGAGCTGTGAAGTGGGCTGCAAGGTTATTGGGGGAAGTTGTGATATTGCTATACCTACTTCTAAGCTGCTGCCGGCAACAACACTGCATTCAAAGCAGGGCAGATGGACAGCAGTGGCTGCTGGCTGGAAGCTCAGCTCTGAAGGCAGAACTGCTGCCAGCAGCACTGCAGATGTAAAGATGGTATGGTCATCCTTATTTCTGTGCTGCTGCTGGCAGGATGCTGCCTTCCGAGCTAGGCCTCAGGCTAACAGCCGCTGATGTCTGATACCTGGATCTGATAACAATGCAGAAGTACCGTAAATTAGCAAATATAACCCGCATCTATGTATAACATGCACTCGTGTATTACCCGCGGGTTTTTTTTCATGAGTAAAAAAAGTCTTAGATTACCCGCGAACGTACATAACCCGCAGGTAATGAAGGTAATAAACTGCTAATGAACCACAGCTGAGGCCGCTGAGCAATAAGTACTACCCTATTACTGGTATGTAAGCCCTATGAACCACACTGTTTTAAAACCTCTTCAGTTTATAACAAAATATTTGTAAGGATGCCTAAACGCAAATCATCTACATCCAATATTAAATTATCTGTTTTGACATATGCAAAAGAAAATGGCAATAGAGTAGCAGGGAGAAAATTTTCCGTCAACGAAAAGTCTGTTCGGGAGTAGAGAAAAGAAGAAGCAGAGATTGAGAAATTAAATCCTCAGAAAAAAGTGCGCCAAGGAAAGAAAGCCAAATTGCCAAAACTAGAAGAAAATCTGGTGAAGTGGGTTCTTACATAGAGAGATAGCCAACGTGCGGTGTCAACGGTAGCCATAAAGCTCAAGGCTCAACTTATTGCTGTGGAGATGAAAATCAATGTTTTTAAAGGGAGCTCAGGTAACTGGGTTTACAAATTTATGAAAAGAAACAACCTTTCAGTTCGAGCACGGACATCTGTTGGGCAACGGCTTCCTGATGAATGGAAGAAGATGGGTGATTTTAAATATTTTGTCCATAAAGAAATTAACCAGCTGGGCTTGAAACCAAATAACATCAGTAATATGGACAACATGCCCATGTTCTTTGATATACCCGCAACTCGGTCTGTTGCAGCAACTGGAGTGAAGACAGTCAGTTTAGCAACCACAGGTCATGAACGCACCTGTTTTACGGTTGTCTTGGCATGCACGGCAAGTGGTGAGAAATTAAAACCCACGGTAATTTTTAAGAGGGTGACGATGCCTCGAGAAAAACTACAAGCCGGAGTTTCAGGGGTCTGTAACAAAAAGGGCTGGATGAACACAGATGTGATGAAGACGTGGACAGACAGCTGCTTTTGTGCATTAAAAGACAGTTTTTTTAATCCAAAATCTCTGCTACTTTTAGATGCCTTGGCCGCCCATAAAGAAACTTTGGTTCAAAAACATATCAACACCGTGGGAGCACATATCGCCGTAATTCCAAGTGGACTGACCTGCAAGTTGCTACCGCTTGATGAGGCGGTCAACTACCCATTCAAGTGCTTCATCCATGAGGAATGGGACAATTGGATGACAAATGGGGAGCACACCTTCACTCTGGCAGATTGACAGCACCGTGCAATTTATGTGGAAGTTTGCAAATGGGTATTGGCAGCTTGGGAAAGAATAAAACCGGCTACTGTTCTCAATGGATTTCGTAAATGTAAAATTCTTCCAGAAGTCGACTTGTCTAGCTCTGAATGTGACTACGATAGCGATTCTGACACAGCACCACAGACCTCAACCATCACCGAAGCACGACTAGCCGAGGTTATGGAAGTTTTTCAAGACAGCGAGTATGATGAAAGTTTTGACGGTTTTGAAAACTCAGACGCTGAGGAGGAGGACGCTAGTTCTGACTCAAGTGATACAGAATAAACTTATTCAGCACGCAGCATGTACTATTTATTTTATGACAATGCGTAGATGGATTTTTTTTAAACTTTAATTTTTTAAAATTGTATTATAAATTTATTTATTTTTTAGTAGCTTCACAGTAAGTAATGTTTTAACTTTTAGGCTGTTTCTAGACTGACATGATTTTCCGGAAATGCTTTTAACAGAAAAGTTTTCCGTTAAAAGCATTTTTGGAAAAGAGCGTCTAGATTGGCACGGACGCTTTTCCGCAAAAGCACTTTTTGCGGAAAAGCGTCCGTGGCCAATCTAGACGCGCTTTTGCGCAAAAAAAGCCCCGATCGCCATTTTTACGATCGGGGCTTTTTTGCGCAAAACAAATCTCAGCTGTCTACACTGGCCCTTTTGAGCAAAAGTTTTGCGCAAAAGGGACTTTTGCCCGAACGGGAGCAGCATAGGATTTCCGCAAAAAGCACTGATTTCTTACAGTAGGAAGTCAGTGCTTTTGTGGAAATTCAAGTGGCCAGTGTAGACAGCTGGCAAGTTTTTCCAGAAAAGCACCTGATTTTCTGGAAAAACTGGCCAGTCTAGACACAGCCTTAATGTATTTTAGTACTCACAACAACACTGCCGCTCTTATTAAATTGAAGATGCTGATTTTATCATGTTGGTCTGGTATTCTTTTAATTTGAGTAAAAATCAGCTTGTATAAGATGCAGACATGTATACCCCGCGGTGGAGGGCGGGGGGTGTTGCAAAAATGTGTATAACCCGCAGGTTATATTCGCTAATTCACGGTAATAGTAGCAACCCTCTTAAAATAATGCCCTCCCCCCCCTTTACAAACTCCTTTTTCGGTTAGATCCCCTGTTCAAGAAACACTTGTCTCCCCTGGGAAGTCTATATACTAAAAGACAAGATTTCACTGAGGGATAGATGAGTTTTCATGCTCTATGATGCATTTTTCATAACTGTGAAACTGGTAGGGCTCTAACCATAAACATGCAAGGATCACAAAAATGTTTCACACAAAAGGTTATTCTGCAAGAGTGCCTAAAACCAATTTATATTGATTACTATTGAATAAACTTAATTCTATGATGGTTTTCATGCATCCTGCAAAACATCAGTTTTAGTATAAGATTACTATGACTGTCACATCTAACTTTTAAGAAACACCCTCATACTAGGAAAAAGTCAGAAGATGCAAATTCAGTACAAACTTGAGCCCTTTATTTCCACTTCTTGACACAGGCCACCAGGTTGACCTGGACAGGAACAAACAATTGGGTAAGCAGGTTCAATAGGTAAATACACTTACTGTTTGTGTACTATTGTATCAAGGCATACACACCCATCCTCATAAAGGACTGCCACCCAGCTATTGAACCATGACTTCCAACCACATAAAACTCATGTCTTATTAACCTTATTATAATATGACCTTAAGACTATCAAAAGACATGCAGTATTTAGAACATAATCCTCATAAAAGCTGAAATGCAAAGGAAGAAGAATTTTCTGTGCACTAGACCAAACCTCCTACACAGAAAACCACCTAAGGCCTCATAGCTGAATACATGTTCAAGTAACAAATCTTTTAAAAAGTCAGTGTTCTGGCATAAGTAATTTATCAAATGTGTGTTTTAACTCGTTCTCTCAGTTAGAGATTTAAGAAGTCTGAATTGTAAACTCTGTATGTTACAGACCATGTCTACAATGGGAATATTTTCAATGGAACACAAATATTCCTTCTTATTTTAATAGGAAACTGTCAATAATAGAAAACAACATTTTTCACATTATGGATTAAGAAACTCTTATCAGATTATACTACACATACCAGCTTCAACAGCAAAAACATTTCCTCGTTCTGTTTTTGGTAGAAGTTCAGTGCGTTCTTTATTGGTCACAGGAAATCTCTGAATTAGGCTTCTAATTGCATGCTTTGTATTGGGTGTCAAACTACATGCCATTACAGTACGAGCCAATTCTGATCCATCTTTCTTCTTAATGGTTAAATATCTATTTGCTCCTTTGCTGAAAGAGATAGGAATTTTTTCATTTAGCTAAGCAGCAATCATTTTACCTATACTTACAGATCTTCTGACAATTTACTCCTAAATTGCATTAAGGTAATCTACAAAAAATGTAAGTCTAATAACATATCAAACACCACAAAAAATACAGAATAAGAAAAACACCCAGCACATTATTAATTTAAGAGATCCAAAAGGATGTCTAACAAAAACATCAACCTGGTTTTATGACCTGTTATTATCTCAGTGGCATATTTCCAAAGGGGTTTTTCAGTTATTATGTGTTGTATTTTGATTCTCAAAGAAACTGCTGTTCTATTTGCTTCTTAATACAAGTTATAAATTCCATATCCTGCCACCTCCCACCCCCAGTGCCCACAAAAATCGTTAGATTTCTGTTTCAAAGGGTTTTTTAATTTTAATGAGTAAAAATATCTTTAATAGTACTCCATATTTTCATGAATCAAAGATCATGATAAAATGTTTAAAACTGATATTATTTCTACTGCAAAATAAATCAAATTCCATCTAATCATTTACATTACTTGAACAGCACATCATACTTACCTCAGAAGGCTAAAACTTACTCAAATTTTATCTAAAAAAGTGGTTAAAAAGCATGTGTCAAGTGAATGTCTAAGTAGCAGTTTAAAATTAAAATAAATGGCACATTTCAAGAAGAAAAGTTAATAAACCTAGTGACTTCACTTTCTCACTGGCATAAATTCTACCATCCACATCTATTTATGAAATACATGATTGCTACTACTACAATTATTTATATAGATACTCCTGTTCAAGGAATTGCTGTGTACAGAATTTTAAGTAATACCAAAAGATACTATAAGTGAATTTTATAAAAATGTTGATCTCCTGTTCTGAAGTATCAATTTTACTGTCAGGATTCAGGAAGACATTTTAAACTCAGCAAAAGCAGTTAAGAGTGATGATTAAGCAGTCGTGATGAGGCTTTTGGACCTTGACGGTTCACCTTCAGAAGTTATTTCAAGAATCGTAGGAAGAAAAAAGACTGAGTTTGAGCAAAACATTTCTTAGGATACTTCCAACAGAACTATCAGCAAATCCAGATTTTTATATCCCTTATATATACTTTGATCTGTTTTTCTTCTATTGGGTGACCCTACAACTTCTGGACCTTGATCAGCTTCTGTTTATCTCTATGTCAAAGGGGTTCTCTGAATGAAGATCTCTCCTTTTCTACTTACAAGGTTGGCATGTGGAACAACTGGGGGAGTAAATCCATCCCTGCAGTACCTACTTCCTCCATTACTCTGTACAGATGCTCTTCTGTAGATACTCCCACAAATTTCTAGGAGGAAAAGAGGTGCTGCTCTCAATAATACTGTCCCTTATCAAGCTCCCAGATTCCATCCAGAATCTTGGTCAGGAGGTAATATAGTTCAGAAAAGAATGACTCCTGGCTGTGTGTGCAGAGTCCTTACTTCGTAAATTTCATGGATCCATAAGGTAGAGAATGGGGGCAAGGCTTCCTAAACCGTACAGGTTACAAATTTCTTTGACTACAGAAATAGCACTCAAAGAGCCCTGCAAGGAATCTCAGTATCTCCTCCCTAACTAGATACTCCTCAAAAGTTGTTCCCTGGAAAAGAATAAATGATCTGGTCCTCCACCCAGGTACAATAAAAATCAGAAGTATAAATTGCCTTTTAAAGAGACTCTTGGACCATCATTTTCAGTAATTAAAATGACTAACTTCACAGTAACTTACCCTTTACTTTTCGAAATCAGACCAAGAGACTGACTGAGTCGGTGAATAAATGCTCTTTCAGTACTAGTCAAAGAAGAAGGAAATTCCATTTCTAGAAACAAAAACAAATCAGCAGATATAACATCACATAACTAACATACTACTTCTTTCCTATTTCAAACAAAATGAAAATATTTGCTTGTTTTCACATGGAAATACGCAATCTCACCAAGAAATCATATGCACAGATCTCTAATCTGCAGAGTTGATAAAAATTGATTTTTTTAAATTTAAATCAGATTTACTGATTTTTTAAAAATAATCATTAAAATACTAAATTTCTAATTTAAAACTAACAGTTACAATTAAATCTTATCACAATCATGCTATACATATGCTTGCAGTCTTATAAAAGTGAATTAATGGCTCTACTGTATCCAGCCTAACTACTAGCTCTTGCTTCTTGAAACTTACGTGCTGTCGATTTCTGTTTCTCAACAGATTAGAAAGTAACATGTTCAAAGAAAGCTACAACCTAGACAGGACTGATTTAGATCTGTGCTTATTTGGTGGAGTTCCCTGGCCACGTATGGTAGAGATTAGTTAAGACATTGTCTTACAGACAATATGAAGGAAAGGACGGAAGCAACGTAGACAGGAACAGGGGAGTGGACCAAAATGAAAAAGGGAAGACATTATTCAACACACCCACAGCTTCTCATATTCCCCCACATTTTTGCCACAGAAAAACTGACACACTATTTGGGAATACTTTGAAGAAATTAATTCCCTGTGGGAAAAAGGATAAAGTATAAACAGTGCAAGAAGATGATCCAAGGCCTAGCTGCAAGAATTAAAATATCATACGGTAGACTGCATGTTGGGAGAAAACTAAGTGAAGATGTGGATATGGCTGAGTGAATCAGCTGGTTAGTAACGTAAATAATTCACTTTGCAATGCATCATTCTTCAAGAAACTCCCTATGCCTTTTAGAAGAAGGGTGATATGACAAGTAAATTCCCAAGCTGTTTACTGTGTTGGATGTTGCTAGAAAACAAGTTTAGTTAACTAAACAAGCTATAAGGATTAGCTAAACTAGGTTTAGAACCATGGAGTGTCATTTTCTTATTTTGTATTACATAATACATGCCCTTTATGTTGGAATATCATAGCCACAAACCCATAATGGTGATGCCATATGTTTATTCCTATTTTACTTCAGCCTAATTCAGCTTTTCTAAAGGAACCCCATTCTATATTTGTATTCTCAAAAAACAGAAATTGGGCTTACTCCACAATTAAGTGTATTCTAAGCAGTCAGTCTTAGGTTTTTTGGTAACTTGACTTAAATCAATGATTTAAATAAATTCCATTCTGCTAAACTACAACAAATTAATCTAAACCTCCCAAAAGGGGAGGCAAATCTGTACATGTCACTAACGAAATATAACTATATTCCGCTTACATATATAAAATCCATGCTACTACTTCCAGTAGGGATTCTTAGCTTTTTCCAAGCATCTAGTCATTTGCCAGGCCCAGGTCAGATCTTAGCAAAACCAGTGCCAGGGAACCATGTCCATCATTCACCCTTGAATGCTTTGGCCAATATGGCAGTTAGGCAATTCAAGGACTGGGTATAGGAGGCTCATAAACTGGGCTAGAGCTCACACAACTGACTGGGATAAAAGATGCAGTAAGCATCCATGGCACTTCAAAAGGTAACAGGGTGGCACTGAGCTTCATTAAATGGGCAGTGTCTGCCAGTCAAAAACGCATAAAAGCACTTGAGACACATATAGCGCAAACGTGACTCGCTACCAGACCCATCACACTAAATTCACCTCAATAGCGACTCCTGTCAGCGTCAATAGCTACAGCCGGCTTCCCAAAATAAGAGCCCCAGGGTGTCCTCAGAGCGCTTCAGCCACGTGAACGGGGGCAGCAGTGTGTTGTAACATACCTCCCCCGCCACCTCTCCCCCGGCCCCCACTCCCCACTCCCC